AGAAGGGATGGCTTTGATATTTATAGGGGAATCAACAAGTTAATGAACCAGGGGGATTTCTGGTGCCTGGGAATCCTCCTGTGGGAAGAAATCCATCCCAGACAGGAATGTCTAGAAATGTATTGGAAATATCCAGCCAAGGGCATGGACTAACCCCGAGCTTCTTCGCGAAGCGCGTGTCCTTGGAGAGGAGGCCCCTCCCTGCTGCCTCCCTGAGGGTGAGGGGCTCTGCCGGAGCAGGCGCCCGGGGCGGGGCTCTCCTTCCCGCAACAGCCCGTGGGGCTCCAACAAGTCCCAGCACAAGTCCTCGGAGGAAGTGACCCCACGTGGAACGGCAGCACACGCCAGCTGAAGGTGGGGCTCCTCTGTGAGACCGCGCGCGGAGCCCTTGGCTGGGCCTCACCAGCCCGGGGAGGTCCCCCTTCCTGCAGTGCCGTCCCTGAGGCCCAGGGTCAGGAAACCCCTTATTTTGTAGAGGAGAAAGAGAAAGTCCTAAGATGTTGAGTGACATCTTGGCTTGGGTTCCTCAGGAAGCAGAGCCCAAGGCAAAGTCTTGCTTGCTAGTGGTTTATTTGGGAGGTGATTCAACAAGCAGGGGGGAGGGGTGGGGGAGGCGGGAGGGGTGGGGGAGGGGGAGGGCCAGCAGGGAAGGCAATAAGGAATGTGTTCCCTCGGTGGGGGCCGGATCCTCCTAGGGCTTCCAGGTGGGCGCCTTTATCCACTGGCTCCCTTCTCCCTGGTGGGGGTTCCCCAGGATAGGGTGGGGGTGAACTCAGGGCGATTGCAGGCTGAGCTCCTGCAGGGCACCGAGGCCTTGGGGCCTCAACCAGGAAGAAATCGGACCTTCTGCAGATAGACTCTGTCAGCACAGGTAAATCTGAGCTCACATGGAACTTTCTACCCTTAGCTGCCCTGAAACCAGGGATGAGCCCAGGGACATGACTTCACGGGCCCCAGGGACTGGCCTGAGGTTCAGAAAGGCAAGGAGCTGGGCCCAGGAGCCAGGGCCCCACAGGCAAGAACAGAGCAGGAGGTTTATACAGACGTACACGGATGCGCACGATCTGCACGGGCATCGGGTCACAGACACGGTCTCCCCGGCTCGCTCTCAGCATCCGAAAGGGTTATGGAAATAGAGACCAAAGGAGAAAAGCAAAGGCTATTTATTCTGAGTTACCCGTAGGAAGGGAGTCAGCCGTCTTGGCAGAGGCTCCGGCGGGCAGGGTGGGAAGCTCTATGTTGGGAGAAAGGGAGGCCTGGGGCGGGGGGCTGCCTGGAGGCTGTTGTCCTGGGGATGCTGCAGGTGGGCTGACTCGGGGCTCCTGTGTGTTGGTTAGGGGAGCAGTTTGACTTTTCCTGGTTGGTCTCAAGTTGGAAGCAAGGACAACTTTTAGAAAGCTGTCAGGTATTATCAAGTCCTGGCCATTGGGGCTGATTGTTGACAGGCATTGTTTGATTTCCTACATTTGTGACTTCTAGCTGGCTTCCCGGGCAGGTGACTGTGGGTAAGGGGCTGGCTTCCCGGGCAGGTGACTGTGGGTAAGGGGCTGGCTTCCCGGGTGGGTGACTGTGGGTAAGGGGCTGGCTTCCCGGGTGGGTGACTGTGGGTAAGGGGCTGGCTTCCCGGGAGGGTGACTGTGGGTAAGGGGCTGGCTTCCCGGGAGGGTGACTGTGGGTAAGGGGCTGGCTTCCCGGGCGGGTGACTATAGATAAGGGGTTGTCTTCCCAGGCTGGTTATGAGCCAGAGTTCTCTTTTCATACATGTTCTGGCCATTGTTTATTTGCATATTCAGTCTCTTAGGATCTCAAAAGATCCCAAAGACAAGAATCACCTCTACAGCCTCCCTGGCAGACAGGCCTCTGAACATGTGGCAGGAGGAAGCTGTGCGTCTGTGGCCCATCTCTCCGCCACGGGGACAGTCTTCCTCACATTTTTAAATGTGTAACCCTGGGGAACAGCCTCCTTTGAGGAGGGAGAGCAGCAAGGGAACCCCTGGAGGAGACCAAGGGGGGGACCTGGACTACAGGAGGGGTGGAGAGGAAAAGGGAAGACGGTGAAGAAAGAGGAGGTCTCTGTCCAAAGCTGCAAAGGGCAGGCGGTGAGGACTGACAATGACACCTGGCGGCTGGCATTTAGAAGGTCAAGGGGGACTCAGAGACTGTGGCTTCACTGGTGGGGGGGACAGGCAAGACTGGAGTGGGTTGAGGAGGGAACAGGAGCAGCGGACTGCAGCCTGTTTTCCTGGAAACTTTGTGCAGAGGGAACAAGGGGTGAGGCACAAGGTAAAGGAGAGAAGCAGGAAAATGGCCAAGGCCGAGGGGAAGGAGCTGCCGTGGGCAGAGAGCCTGCCAGGCCAGGGCTGACCTGGGCCCAGACCTCTGTGCCAGGTTTACCCTATGCCCACGAGAGCGGCCCCCGCTCTCCGTGCGCAGGACTGTTTGGGCGCGCGTGCACACACACACACGCGCACACACACACGCGCGCGCGCCCTAACAGTCCTGGGAAATACTGACTGGATAAGCGGGAGCAGAGAAGCAGGGCGGCCCTCAGCCCCACACACCTTCTCACCAGCCCTCTTCTCCCTCCAGGGACATGAGGGCGTTGTCATCACCCAGGCTCCGCATCCTTCCTCTGTCCGCTTAGACCCGGGCCCTCCCTCTTTCCCACTCCCCTTTCCTGCACGACGTCTGTCAGCCAGTAGGTGCCCCGATCTGGCGCGAACGTGTCCCTGCAGGGACAGCCCCTGCACACAGGAGCCGGAGGGCTCTGAGCTCCAGAGGGAGAGTGACCCACTGAGCCAGACCCCCTGGTCCTGCCACGGGGAAGGCGCCAGGGAAGGTGCTTGATTGACTTATTGGGTAAAGACACTTGGGGTGTCCACCAAGTCACCATTGCCCCTAGCCCTCCTCGTTACAGTGACCTGCCCTCACGCACCAGTGTTGAAGAGAAACAAGACGCTTTCCGTCGGTGTCCTTGCTTCTGCTTGGAACAGTATTTCTTGCTGTTCTCCTGTCCATTGTGTGGGGAATTCGTCCTGTGTGTTGGGGGAAGCGCTGACAAGGGAGGAATGAGAGTGGGGGGGCTGGGGCGCCAGCTTGAGGATCAGACTGCAGTCTCTCCGAAGGAGACCTGTGCGAGGTGGCGGTCTGCACAGGTGGCCTGGGGGCCCTCAGGGGAGCACCCCGGGCTGCCTTCTCCTGGGCCCGAGTTCCTGACAGGGGGAGTGGCCCTCCGCCTCTCCTGTTGTGTGTCTGGCTCTGTGCTCAGGTAGGCTGTACAGGACTCATTATTTTGATTCTCAGAATTTTATATTAAAGCAGACAGGCCCATCTTTAAAAACAAAAAAACAGTGCCAATAATTAGCTAACACTGCTATGTGCCAGGCATTGTGCTAAGCACTCCCCATGCACTGTCTCACTTGTTTCTGCATCCACAGTCAGAGAGATCCTTTCAAAGTGTAAATCACACCCTGCCCCTCCCCTACCCCAAGACTTCCCAGGGTTCCTGTCATCCTTGCTGTAGCCAGGCCCCCTACCCATCCTGCAAGGCTGGCAGGGCATGGGCCCAGGCGCCTGCTCCTACTGCATCCCTGCCCCTTCCCTTTCCTGCCCACCATGCTCCCTGTTGCTCCTGCCACAGGGCCTTTGCACTGATTCTTCCCTGCGGCTCCGCCCAGCTCACCCCTTCACTTTACCAGGCTTTTGCAAGTGTCTTCTTAGACCCTCACCCCATCCACAATATCACCCATTATCACACTCTGTCATCTTCCCTGCCTTCATTCTTAATAGCATTCAGCACATCTAGCCATTTTATTATTAATTTATGTGCTTATCAATTCCCAATCAAACTTACACGAAGGCAGGAACCTGGTTTTTTGTTCACAGCTCTGTTTCCAGGACCAAGAACGGGGCAGATAGAGTAGTCATAAATAATAAATAATCAGTGAATAAATAAGTAAATGAACAGATACTCACAAAACCTCATGATGTAAGTGCTACTGTAACACTCATGTTATAGATGAGGAAACTGAGGCTGAGAGGGGTTAACACTGTTCTCAGGGTCATGAAGCCAACAAGCCAGGCGGGATCCAAAGGCCCAATGCCTGCCTGTGGGGTCTCACTCTCAGCCCTGCGCTTCATTTGGAGCTCTCTGCACTCAAAGCGACCCTCTTCCTCAGACTGCAAGAAAAAAGGTTTCCTGGCCGCACCTGTTTGGAAGATACTGCAAATTGGGTTTCTCCACTTGGTGTCTCAAATGTTTGTTAGCATATGAAAGGTCCTGATAAGTCCTGCAGTAAAGATGCTGGCTGAACTTGTGGAATGTTTCCCAAAGTTTTGACTGTGGAAATCTTTAATTATTTATCTGTGTAGGTAATACCTATTCACATATTGCAGAAAGAACCTTGGGAAATCATGGCTTTTGTCATTGTGAAGAGAAGGCAGATTGTCTGATAAAGGGTCCTGAGACCTCTCTGGGTTGTCCAGCATGGGGAGGGCTGGGACCAGGGGTTTCCCTCCAGCAGGAGGGGGCATGCCCAGAGTCAGCGACTCCGGAGACTGGCATCTGGGCCCAGTGTGTCTGTTCGCCCATCTCATGCTTACCAAAAGCCGGGCAGGCAGTAGCGAGGCTCCTGGGACCTCTAACCCCACCCCAGCCCAAACACTCTCTGCAGGAACCCAGGCTGCTGCACCTCCTGCCCTTTGGTTTCTGTACCAAGTGACACTGGTGTTTGTCTTGAGGCTGTTCGAGAGCAATGTGTGCTTCTCGCCCCACAAGCCTGGCCCTGTTTCCCACTGTCCCGTGTCTCCCATGGGCATTGGAACCCCCTGGAGGACCAGGGACACCGCCTGACCCTCTTGTGACCTCTCAGCTGCCCCGCTTTCTGCTGAGCCCACCGTAACCGCCCACACGATTCTTGTCGGCTTGAGTGCGAGGGAATGCCGGTCCTGTTTGTTGTGTGGTTTGGCGCGGGCACGGGTAAATGGTGAGGCTGTGAATCATGACCGAAGTCCTCCCCCTGCCCCAAGCAGACAGATATGCCCCAGAGGCAGAGATGACAACGGGGAGTGGTGTACGTGACTGCCCGGATCAGGGAGATTTGGGAGACTTCAAGCAACGGTCAAAGCCCCCGACCTATTCATTTTTATTGGGTTTGATGGTGATTTGATGTCATTAGGGATTAAGGTCTCATCTTTATGTCTGAGATCCTCTTCGTAACACAGGTGATGGGGAAGGGAAGAGAGGAGACAGGCAGCCTGGATCGGACCATGTAAATGTGGGAGGCGGGAGGGCCCAGAGCCCGGCCTTCCACTGGTGCCCGGCAGGAGGCTGAGCGGCAGGCAGCGAGAGGCAGGGAGTGACCGTGTTTGCCTTCACTCCAAGTGACCGTGAGAGCTGCCACACAAGCCTGCCGTGCTCCTCCTGGTGACAGTGTTGGACTGCACCGGGATCACCGGGGTCAGCCAGCTGGCGTGTCCCTGGGTTTGGGGAGGGTGTCAGGGTCTGCATGGGAGAAGCCAGGAGCCTGCCGGGGCAACCCGAGGGGAAGCGGGTGGCCATTCCGAGGCGGGTCCCAGGACTTCACGGGAGGCAGCCCTCGCTCCACTCGCCGGATCTGCTTTGGAGAAGCTGCGGGCAGGTCGGTCCCGTGCTCAGTGCACCAGAGCTGAGCATTTGAGGTCCGGCCTCTGGTGAAATGGAGATTCCGATTTGGTGTAATAAACCGTTATAAAACGGATGAACATCTTCTAATTTACCTTTTGTGTAAACTTGGGTTTTCGTATACGGTCTGGTCCACGTGTCAAGTTTCATCGACACAGCATGTTGGCTTAATTACAGGCAGGGGCCTTGTTGGCATCTGGTGGGCACCGCTGCCCTCTGCTTTCTGCGCTCTCAGTAAAGGCGCCCTGGAACGCCCCCTGACCTGTCCTCACTGGGCGCCGTCTGATAGGGACCGGCGGACAGCAGCGGGCACCGGAAGCAAGCGTGGTAGCCGGGAGAAGCGCAGTCCCCGCAGAGGCTCTGCACACGGGGTTCAGACCCTCAGGTGTGGGTGTTTCGGGAAGGGTGGCTTCCCCTGAGCCACCTCAGATGGGAACAGCTGTGTGCGGTGAGCTTCCCAGATAAAAGCCGCGAGGGAAAGAAAGGAAATTCACTTTTATTTCCACCTCCTCCAATTTTCCCCTAGACAATGAAAATGTAGAGATGCCAAACCATTCCTGGAATTGGATTCGTTTTCATGTTCACAGATGGGAAGGCTCCTTTCTTCTCCTTTTTAAAGGACAAAGACTGAGTTTCAAAGAACAAATATGAAAGGCAAGTCAGTGCTTTTGGGACCCAGAGCTGTTTGGGCAGAATCACACCTACCCGTGGGGGCGAACCCTGAAGGCTGCCCTGCTGTCCTTGAAGGTCGGGAGGGTGAGTCAGAGGAGAGAAGCATGGTCACCCCACCGAGGGGTGGGCGCAGCAGGCTGACCCCGACTCCCAGGTCACCTGGCCCTGTGGTCTCCGGCCTCTGGCCCAGAGTGCTGGCAGGAGGCAGGTCTGAGTCAGGTGGGAACGTCCTCCTTCGGGCTGACCCTTCGGAAAGCACAGCGAGAGACACCCAGGGGGGAGGAAATGCGTGACGGACGTGACGTGGGACAAGTGGGGGCCTCCCGGCCTCCTCCGCTGTCCATCTGCCGCTGTCCCTGTCGACTCTCAGGAAGGGGCCGGGTTCTACCATCCACACTTCTCTGCTCCCCAAACTGTCTCACGCCCAGTTCAGGCCTGATGGTCCTTTCTCCCAGAGTGGAGCAGCGACACCCCACCTCTGGGCGGAGAATCGGGGGAGGTCTATTTGGTCCTGACCCTGAGCTTGGGGGCAGGTTGCATGTGAGATGTGCCCTCACTGGGCTGGAGACCAGCATGGCCAGGTGCTGCCACCTGCAGCTCCTCTGGGCGACAAGCAGCCCAGCAGCCCCACTTTCCTCCTGGGGCTGAGCAGGCGGGGAGTGGCCAGGTGCTGCCACTGAGCACGGCAGCAGGGTGCTCCGTGGCCTTTTGTTGGAGAGGAGCCAACTGAGACCCGGCTCCGAACTTCGGCCTCAGACGCAGGCTTCCCTGGAAGGGGAGAGGTCGCTGTGTCCCCCCATGGCGCACGGAGTCTGGAGCATTTCAGAGCTGTTTTCCCCGATTCAGGTTTCTGTTTAAAGTGGGCTCGCGTGGCCTTTACAAATGGCACCCCCAGAAGCCAGGCAGGGCCACTCAGCCCCTGTCCTGGGAGCCCAGCCCAGAGGGGTCCATTCTGATCTGGGGGGAGACAGCTGTTTACTGGACACTGGAATTTCAGGTGAGGGTGTGGGGGGCCGACACGGGGGAGGCAGCAGCCCTGGTGCTGCTGGGCCACTGCTGGGTCCCGGGAAACTCAGCATTGACCACCTGGGAACTCAGCTGTCAGGGCTCCGCCCCTTTGGAGTTAATCCAATTCCTCTGGCATCAACAGTGGGCGGGCGGGCAGGTGCCAGGAAAGCTGACCCCTAACCTCGGGATTGTCAGCAGGGAGGCCTGCCTCCTACCAAGTGGCCTCAACGATCCACGTCTGTACCCCACGGAGCCCACACCTCCTGCTGGAGGGGAGTAGGGGCAGTAATGCAACGCCCCAGGTGTCCTGTGGGGCTGGGTGTGGGGTGCCGCTCTCAGCACCCCCAAAGTGTTTGGGGGGTACTTTCGATTCTGGGTCCTCCTGGGTGGCACTAATAGGCTCTAACGGCCCCTTTGTGCCCCGCAGGCCTGTGAGTGGGATGTCCAGTGTGGGACGGGCACCTGCTGTGCCATCAGCCCGTGGCTCCGAGGTGCGTGGACCTGCAACCCCTGGGGCAGGAAGGAAGGAGTGCCACCCGGGCAGCCGCAAGGTACTGCACGGACTTGCTCGGGGCACACAGCCAACGAGACAGCTGGGACTGGGTCCTCGCTTCCCACCCAGCGCTCTGTGCAAGTTTAAGCCTCTTTACAGCCATAGGTGGTCAGCTCTGTTATTAACCCACCCGACAGATGATATGGTTGGGAAGCAAAATAACTCGCCAGTTGTCACACAGCTGGTAAGTGGCAGGCCTGGGATTTGAACCCAGGCAGTCTGACACTACCCGTGCTCTTAGTCACTCCTATTCAACCCCCTGGAGGAACCTCAATGGCTCAGCACTCCTCTGGGGGTGTCACAGGGCAGAGACAGAGTCTGTCCTGTCCAGTTGCTTCCCCAGCACCCAACACAGTGTCAGGCACACAATGGATGAACAATCAGGGAGTGTGTGTGTGCGTGCACGCACGTGAGCTGGGTCAGTGCGGGGTGGGCATTGTTGGCAGCTTGTGGGGTCTTAGGGTTGGGGGTGGACAGCCTTGCCCTGTGGCTGGCTGACCCCGTAGTTTCGGGAGCCAGATTGCCTGGCTACAAATCCTGGCTCCTCCACAAGTGAGCTGTGTGATCTTGGCATGTTGCTTAGCCACTCTGTGCCTCAGTTTCCTCCTCTACAATAGCTGTTTTGTGCTGGGGTGGGGCCAGGGTTGGGCCATCAGAGGCTCCTGCTGGGAGGCCCATGTCCCCTTGGTGAAGGTGCCATCTTCTCCTCTGTCCCCAGGTCCCCTTCTTCAGGAAACGCCAGCACCACACCTGCCCCTGCCTGCCCAGCTTGCTGTGCTCCAGGTGCCTGGATGGCAGGTACCACTGCTCCATGGACTTGAAGACCTTTAGGAGCTTCTCTGGTCTCAGACACCCACCGGGCTTCTTGCTGACACAGTCTAGGATTGTCTTATGGATTTTATTGTATTTCAGCCACCCCTAGCTGCCCCATCGACGCTCCCCACACTGCCTACCTTGATCCCCCTCCCCCCCAACACGTACATGTGTACCTCCACATGGCAGTGACTGGTCTGCTGGCCTGAGGGTGTCCCAGCTGTGGCTGTGGTCCTGGAGGTGGCCTGGCCGGTTCTCTGTTGCTCAGGCCGCCTGAGGGTTGTAACAGGAAGGGTATTCTTTCCCGGGGCTCTGCCTCCATCCCCCCAGGGCGTGTCCTCCCTGGGCCCTGCCTTGCCCCCCTGCTCCCCCGCCTGTGCTCCTCTGGACCGGATGTCCTGTCCGAACACAGACCCTCGGGGGCACGCCTTGGAGTGACAGGTCCTGGTCTGAACCTTGGGTTTATCCTTCGATCGACTGGCTCCTTTTATTCAGGTCACAGGTCCGAGGTCAGCCCTTCCCAGAGGGGAGTGGACAGGGACCTCATGGCAGATGGGAGGAGCCAGGGAGGTTGGTCGGCTCCCCGACAGTGGCCTGCCCACTAGGCCAGAATCACAGGGCCTTCAAGGTCCCTCCTTGCACACTTTACCTGTTAACCAAGGAATCCCCTAATTCCTAGTGCCCCCTAAAAGACAAATGGTGAGATTCAAGCTAAGCAGCATTTTAGGAGGCAATCAGGGAGTTACCTTAAACAGCTCCTTTCGAAGGCTCAGCCCTGAGAGCAGGTCTCGACCTTGAGGAGGACGGGCCTCTGCCCAGCTGGGGGAGGGTGGGGAAGGGGCACAGGGGCACTGATCTCAGACACAGGGAGGCAGCCCCCAGGGACCACAGGCCCTGCACGGGTACGGCGTCTTGCTCTGGGAGCAAGGGTGTCTGAAGATCGCAGCAGCCTGGGAGCTGTGTGGCCAGTCTCCATTCTCATCTCAAACACCAGTCCCACTGGGCACCTCACCTGGGGACCCAGCCCGAGGCTCACTGGGGCAGGCTGCTGGTACTAGAAGCTGGGCCCTACGGCCTGCCGGATGCAGAGTAACAGCATGAACCAGGGGCCAGTGGCTGTGGTGCCCTGCTGTGCCAGGTGGGCAGACTGATGCCACAACGTGCCTCCTCCGAGCCAGGGCAGCTTCTTGGAGAAAGTGGGTTCAGAGGCTTTGAATGAACGAGAGGCAGCTCAACGGTCACGGCTCCGACAGGCTGGTGGTTGGAGGCAGGAAGAGAGCCACGACTGGCATCGGGGCAGACTCCATGGTGACGTCTGGATGGGTGGCTGCTCCCACTCCTGCAGTTTTGTCCCTTCTGCTCGGTGTCAAATACTCGACTTGCCACGTACATGAGAAAGTCTGTCTCGGGTGGAGTCTGTCTGAACCCAGGGGCTGGGAGTGTCCCCCAAGTGCCACGCTATGGGTCCTAGGGCTCCTTACTTCAATTTCTAGTCTAGAAAAATGCAAAACGTAGGATGAGTACCTTGTTTCTTCCTGTCCTCAGAAGCCTCCCCGAGGACTGGTTTCTGAGGCCCGGGGACTCCTGCCTGCCCTCATTTGCCCTTGACCCCCTCAGTGGTGCTGGAGGTGCCCAGCACAGGCTTATTCCAGGGCCTCTCAGGTCAGGCCGGTGCCCCACACGGAGTCACCTGCTTGCAGCCCATGAGTCTCTTTCCCGCCACGTTCAGGTTCAGGTTCAGGTTCAGGTTCAGGTTCAGGTACTGCGTACGGGGTTCCTTGCCACGTCTGGGATTCCAGTTGGCCATCCTCGTCCTCGGACCTGCAGGCACTGCCGACTGCTGCCAGGCCATGCTGCCCTGGTGCCCTCCCCGTGAGCAGAGCAGAGGAGGCGATGGCCTCAGGCACCAGGTGCCCCTGGCACGGGGCGCATCGAACCCCGCCCGCAGCTGCCGGTCTGGGAGCTGGCCAGTCTGCAGACCCGCCAATGGGCCGAACCAGCCATTAATCTAACTGGCCCAATTTTCACTCTTTAATATCTGAATTTCGAGGAATATATCATTGGTTTCTGCCCCATTTCCTTCTGTTTTACCTAAAGACTGAAGAACAAAGGGGGGGGGATGGGAGGCTAAGAAAAATTTATTTGTGTGAATTCTTTATATTCAGGAATGTACTCTTCATACATGCAGATATAAAAATTATTTATAAGTAGAATATATCGATAAGAATGTTATCTTTGAAGAATGAAATTAGGATGAGGTGACATGGACACCCCTCCAGAGGCAGGCCTTTCAGGGGCAGCCTTTCCCCCATTCACCCCAACCTTTTCTCCCCAATCGCTGGAGTCTAATGCCCTCTAGTGGCTAAAGTGGGGATGGCATGGAAAAGCGGAGACGGAAAAAGGTGGCAGCCTCAGAAAGACGCAACCTTCTCCAAGCCAGTGGGGCCTCGTATCCAGGTGCTCCCGAGAGTTAGACTCACTCAGATCTAGTGGGACGATGCTTCCACCTGCAGAAAGAGCGCTGCCATTTTAAGGAGCACAGGAGAAATGCGTAATTGCCCCGTTGGGTCCTGCCCCACCTCGATACTTAGAAGCTGCTGTCATCTTGGGGGATCTCTCTCACCCCTTCTCCAGGATTAGGAAAGTGGAGGTGGGTGGGGTCAGACAAGCCAGTTGGCGGGCCCTCCCCCTCTATCTGTGCACTAGTGCTTGGTGTCAGTGCCCCTCCAGTATCTAAGTCTGAAGTTCACGGTCAGCCTAAGTTTTCTCTCCCTGAGCTCCATGCCGCCGGTCACCAAGCTGTGTCTGCCTCCCTGCCCTGCAGCCAAGCTGTGTCTGAGCAGTTGCACTGCCCAGCATGGTCCACGGCAGCTGCTCCCCTGTCCTGTCTGCCTCCTGTCTTCCCTCGAAACCCACCCCTCTGCGTCTGCCAGGCACCCTCTGGGCAGCAGTGCCTTCACCCAGTTTACTCCCCGTTAAAAATCCTCCGCGGCTTCTCAGCACCAAGGAGACAGCCCAACCCTGGCGGGGAGCAAAGAGCCCCCTGTGGTCTGGCCCTGCCCACCAGGCTTCCTGGACTCAGGACTGTCTGCAGTGTGTGGAAGCCATGCGTGTGTGCCTGGGCTGTCCCCTCTGGGGGGACTCTGTGCCTGCTCTGCAGTTGGTGGCTTCGGTGCACCCTCCAGGATCATCTCACATGCACCGCCCCCATCTGCATGGGTCCGCGCACCACCTGGCACAGCTCAGCCACAGCCAGCACTTGCTGTTAGAGCACCGGGTCCAGGTGAGCCTTCCCGCGAGGAGGGGCGGTGTCCAGTTCTGTCCCCAGGGTGGGATGGTGGGGGCAGGGCTGGAGCAGCTGTACCGCCTGAGGTGAGGGGCTCCACCTGGGGCCGGACGAGCCCTGGCCTGTCCCCATGGGGGCATCGGTTCCCCAGGACCTGGGCCCTCCGTGCCCAGCACACTGCAGGCTCCGGCCTCTCCCTGCCCTCACTCCAGTCCCAGCGGCTTCTCCTCAGAAGCAGCTCAATTTAAAAAGTTTAAAGAGTTGCCTTGGGCATGGATCACACCCCTATTTTCAACCCAGTCAGACCCTCAGCAGACTGAACCCCTGTGGACCCAGAAAACCAGATTCTTCCAGATGGGGTGGAGTAGGCAGGAGTGGGGCCCAGCCCACTGCCAGGCGCCTGCTCGCCCCAGCATCGCAGCAGGTCCCTGACAGGCTGCTTCTGGGCTGGAGGGCCAAAGCTGCTTCTCCGTGCAGACCAAACCCCGCCTATACCGGAGTGTGCCGAGCACTTGGCGAAGAACGTTGGGGTCTGCCTGCCGGACCCCAGGTTCCACAGGGCAGGGGCCCCTGCACCGCAGTCTGTCACTGGCAGCAGAAGGGAGCTGGGGGACGAGGCAGGGTGTCTGGGTTGGTCAGCCTGGCTCAGACCACTGTCCTCCCAGTGTAAGGTGGGAGACTGGACCTGCGGGCAGGCCTTCGGGAGCCAGGCCTGGGCACCTGCTGTGGGTGGGGAAGATGGCCGGCATCTTGGCAGGTCTCAAGGGAGGCTGAGACGTTTCTGGTTGCTGAAGTGGCAGCGGTTAAGCCTAGTTTATCAGCTGAGGGTCCCTTTACTGCTCCGCAAACAAGGACCTGCTGGGAGGTGGAGACCGTGCCTTCCCGAGTCTGCTGCCTGGAGCCTGGCACAGAGCAGAATGAACATTGACTGACAAAGGCGTGAATGAGGCATCACGGCCTAGGAGGAGACAGGCTGGAGGCTCTCAGGGTCCTGGGACCTGGGCGGTCTGTGGCTGCCAGCTGTCACGTCCTTCTCCCGCCGTCCCCACACCCACTGCTCCCTGCCTCAGGTCCACTGCCGGTCTCTCTCAGGAGCAGAAAGCCCCCAGCGTCCTGGAGACCGCAGGCCACGTGGACGGCTGTCTCCCCTCCCCTCCCCTCCCCTCCCGCTCCGAGGGGCTCTGGTCCGCGGGCTCGGGCAGCACACAGCTGAGACCGGAGGAAGAAGCCAGAGAGAAGGGCCAGCCTAGCAGAGGCGCCAGGGTGGGACTTGCCTGGAGTTGAGCCCACACGACAGACACCCTCCGGTGCTCAGACTGTGTTTATCTCGGGGGGCCTTGGTGAAGGGGGTTGATGGGGACCCAAAGCCCTCAAGGCCCCCAGGGCTGCACTAGGCATTCCCACCCCTCGAGACCTTGGCGGTGACAGTCCCTGGGCTGGAGAAACTGGTGCTTGAAGTTGCCTTGTATCAGCTTCAGAGCAGCTCAGGAGTTGCCCTGAAGACTTGCCTGTGGACCCAGAAAACCAGATCCTTCCAGATGGGGAAGCACAAGGGGGCCCCAGGGGCACACTCTTTGTCAGGGTTTCTCTAGGGGTGCCCTTTTGATGGGCATTAGAAAGAAATCGAAGCACCGTCTTTACACAGCCTCGCTGCACCGACTGATAGTGAGTGAGGGAAACGTGCCACATCCGCGCAGTGGAGGCTACTCAGCACGGACGGGGAGCCAGGGGCCCCCTTGGAAACACGTGCCGAGAAGCCCGGACTAAGGACCACATCTTCTCTGATTCTCTTTATGTGAAATGGCCACAATAAGCAAATCTAC